TTCGTAGATGAGTAATTCTAAACTAATTATATTGAGTGCGAAATCCCTTCTACAATTTTTCCAGACACCTGTTTTTCTACACTCGAGAGTTTCAAGAGATGCTTGGTCATTAATGTTTGATCCCTTACAATTTTATTGTTTGCGTTGAAAAGTTTGTCTATGTTTTGATTGATTAATTCTAGGTCGCTATTTTCTAATGTGCCAAATAATGTTTTAGAGATGCTTTCTGCAAAATTAAATAATCCTCTCTTTACCCTTAGATATATCAAATTCTTATAATGTATATATTTGTTCTTCAATGGATCAATTTTAACTTTTAACACGTTAAATTTCGGAGATTCTGTACAACTGCTTCGATCACATATTAGATTTAGTTTATATAATCGGTCAATTCCTTTCTCTTTTGCTTGTTGAGTAATACTCATGTCGACGCCTACTATTAACTTTACTTGGTTATAAGAGAGGAAAACTTTCTGTACATCTTCTAAAAATAAATTCTTATTTTCTAGGTCTGCAAGTTTAATTTCTTCGCTTATCACTAGTGTTAGTGTTGCCAATAATTTGAGCTTCATCTGAAATCAAGATTTAAATATTTTTAACCTATTACCATGTATTTTAATAAATCTTCCCTCAAGGTCTTTACAGATGTAATACGGACTTTTTACTTCATCGATAATATAAAGTCCCAACCATTCAGAATCTACATTATTTCCTTTACGATCGTTATGCATTAGAATCCTATCATTGACTTTAAACACGTTTTGTAATTTAATTTCCTTATTCTGATTTCTTTTATTTGTAGCTTTACTCTTCTCTATTATTACCTTGGCTCTAGCTAAATACAACTCATGTCTACGTTTCCATAAACGGAATTCTTCTTCCTTGCTCATTACATTAGTAGCAGCTATTGCACTGGTCAAGTAGGCCTTTGTACCAAAAGTCAACTCAAAGGGTATACGTGATATACTCATACATGAGGTGTTATATCCAAAACAAACTAGATTCAATATCTCGTCCCATTCTCTATCTCAGTAGAACAAATCCTTATTAAATCTCCTATTAAGGCATGTGCACATTACAAGGAGCCATTGCCTTGTGGGTGGAAGCTAGTGGTATTAATATGCTTAATCTTAAAAGTTTCTTCAAATTCCATCATCAATTTTGACACAAAATTCAGGCCTTGATCAATTAATATCGTCTTTGGTGTGGAAAATACGTAAATATAATGATCCGCCAATTTCTCAATTTTAGTTTGTGCTTGTTGATTGGGAAACGGTACAAGGATAAGATATTTGGTTAAGACATTTTGTATTGATAATACATATTGATTACCTTTGCTGGTCATTTGTAATTGTCCGTATATGTAAGGTATTTCGTCATTTGGGCCTTTATGTGTCTCAGTGATGATGCTGGTTCTCTGGGTCTAATTCTCGTCAATTTTTCACGTTGGTAAGTCTCGGATTTACTTATCATATCTTTTATCTCATTATTCATGTTGGACAAGTAGTACTTTTCTTTGATTCTTGCTAGAGTTTTATTTTCTCCAAAGTGTTATAATTCTGAATTGTGGCTATTCTTGAATATCTTTTCTTTTGTCTGTTCATCAATAAGTATTATTGGTTCGCATGAAATTGTGTAATTACCGTTGGGGTTTTTAAATGCTAAGTTTTAAACGCTAACTAATTTTTTCTACCAAATTCTCTAACATATGATCTAATATTCCTATTTGTGTGTAGATTTTGATTATATCTTTTAATTTTACCAAAAACTCTATTTCTTTAGGGCAATCCACTTCAAATCTATCAATTTGTTTTATTCCGTCTCGATTCACTATTTCCTTCAAGTTAGGAGAGGGTCCTTGCCTGGCTAAATTTCTATATAATCTTCGAAGACGGTTATACTGTTACTCGGTTACGTAGCCTCGTCATTGTTTTTCGATTCTATGGTCTAATTTGTTAGTTGGAAGAGCTAGTCTGTGGTCTTGTCTTTCAGTGTTTTAATTTGTGTAATGTTTAATCGTGACAACGCGTCAGTGGCCAGATTATCTTCTCTTTTATGATATTCTGTTTCGTCCTCGTATTCCTCTAATCTAAGTCTCCACCTAATTAACCTTGAAGA